TTTACCATCTGCTGTCATTTTCTTGCTCTGAAGTTTAGAAGTCTGTTCCAGTGTTACCTTCACCCTTTTGTCTGTCTTGTGCTATGATCAAGCCTATTTAACCACTCTCAGAAAGATTGAGGTGATACTATGCCAGTGGGGCACAAGCTCTGACAGGTGTTATTGGAAAACGCTTCAAGTGTGGGCACAGTGAGATGAAAGGGAATGAAGAAAAGGGCACAGAGAAAGAAAGCCAGGGGTGGCAAATCCAAACTTGTCAAACTCATAATTTTACCAAAGTCCCATCCTTGATGGTGTCATTAAATGATGCTTCCCTGCACCACCCATCCAGAGTGAAAACTCTGTAAATTCCAGGCTAAAAAATGCTTTGTAGAATGTTTTATTGATCAGATGTATCAGTACATATGCCAAAAACTACTGGGCAATATTTTCTGCCTTGCCTATGTTTATAGTCTGAGAATGAGAAGCGAACAACAGAACAGAGCAATGGAACAGAATAGATTGTTTCCAATTTCTCCCTCACCTGGCTTATTTGTACACAGTCATTTTTACATTTTCTTCTCCATTAGAATGTAAGATCCCTGAGAGCAGGGACTGTCTTTTCCTTTTCTTTATATCCCTATGTCACAAGGTTGTTGTAAGGGAAATGCTTAAAAACAAAAGTTCTGCAGAATAATTATTAGCTTCAGTATTAAGCTGGGTCACTACAGTTTCTTTGCTTCTATTTCTCCATCTTAAAGCTTCTTTTAAAAACAGCCCCCTAGTACAAATGGGAAGGAGAAAAGATTCTATATTGACTTAATTGTGGACTTAAATAATAGAGTAATTCAGCAGCTGGGAACTCACAGCCTTTTCATAAGCAGCCTCTACCTAACTATCAAATCATCATTTTAGACTGGAAAATGGAGCAATTTTCTCTTCAGGAGGTCCCAGACTGGCAACCTTTTGGAACCTTCTCCCACCCCTTTCTCTGTCATAAAATGCTCATAACACTCTCTCTCCTGTAGGGAAAAATATTGGATGAGAGCTCAGAGACCTGGATTTATTCTTGGTTTTATCACTGTCTAGATGTGTGACCTTTGGCAACTTACTTCATCTTTCTGTATTTTAGTTTCCTCATTTGCAAATCAGGACCTGTGGAATGGGGGGTTGGGAGCATGCAGTGGTCTGAACTACACCTCTACTATACCTGCTGGATGTAACATTCTCAGGTTCTCTATTCCAAGTTCCTTTTCAACATAGACATCCTATGTTGCTTTTTCTATGCTTCTCCCTCCCACTATTAAATTTCCTTATTGAGAATCCCCTTCCCTCCCTCCTTTCTCCCAGTAACAGGCAAAACCTAAGCCAGACATTCATCCTAAATTGTCTAGTTTATTAGGTCAGTAATAGCAAGCATCCTTCTTGGAGAGCATGGCAAGTTCTTGGATCATATTAAACTTAGCACTTGGAATTGTTAAAGTGTTGATATAAAATCATAAAAATATATGAATATTATGCTGGAAGATACCTTAGATATTCTCTGGTTTTTGTCCCTCATGACTGAAACTCAGAGAGGCCAGTGAGGTAAAACTAGATCTGCAGGAGACAACCCTAACTCAAACCCCAACTCTGATATTAATTATATGATTTTGGGAAGCTGACTTAAACTCTGTGATCTCTCAGTTGCAGAGTTATTGGATAGATGAATTTGAAATTCATTATTAAGCACATGCCATGTGCCAATCACTCCACTAAATTCTGAAAATACAAATACAGGAAAGCAAGACAGAAGATCTTGCATTTTAATGGGGAAAGATAACACATGAAAGGGTGCAAGAAATGGGGAGAGGGAAGAGATACACACTCAGTGGCATGATTTATAAATGGTGAGACAATAGTGTGGATGCCTTGTTTCTAGGCAAGGTAAGATGAATGAAAGTTTACTTGTCAGGTCCCCAGAGCAAAATCTGAGTTCTAATAGGGGAAAGAAAGCCAAAGTACAGGTGGCCAGGAAATGGCCAGGAAATGAGAGATGAGGACTAGATTTATGATTTCATTGGTATAGGGAATTCCCAGGTAAGGAAAGTCCTTATACCAATGCAGGTCCATAACTGTTTCTTCAATGTATGGTCTTAGAGCTTCCCAAACCACTGAGAAATTAAGTGACTTGACCATGGTCATAACAGTCAGTATATGCCAGAGACAGGACTTGAACCCAGATCTTCCTGGCTTAAAGATCATTTCTATGCCCTACATAAAAACCACAAAGTACTGTGAAATGTGTAATGTTATTATTGTACAAGGTCATAATAACCGAAATTTATAGAGACCTTGAAATCATTTTACCTATATCATCTCATTTGGCCTCATAACAACCCCATGAGGTATGTGCTATTATTACTACTATTTTACAGATGAGAAAACAGAGAAACAGAGACATTACACCCAGCTGAAATTCAAACTCAGGCCTTCAAACTATCTACACAGTTCATTTTGACAACATAACACACTGCTTCAGAAAATAGAGCAGAAAAGTAGACAACTTCACTTGAACTTTGAGACTAGCTGCTATTTTATCTATGGATCCCCAGTGCCTAGAACATAGTAGGCAATTAATAAATGATTGTTGATTGATTGAACCAGGAGCATCTGGAAGAATATTCCACTTCTCAGAGTTGCTTAGCTGTCCTCCATTACTTTATTATATCTGAGCAGCAGATACATGTTGACAGATTGAGAGAAAGCAAACAAAAAGATTAATGGGCATCAGTTTCTTGAATGAATTTGGAGAGATTAGAGAAACCCATAGGAGATTAAAAACCCATCCTTTGTCTTAAATGACAAAATAAAAAATTTAAGAAGATAAATGTCAAACTTCTTGATAGAATTTTTAAACAATGAACCAGATGATTCATTGGGCAGCATCAGTGTAGTATAGGACAAAATTGAAATTGGGGAAAGATATAAATTTAGCTCAAAAGAAAAAGAAATCTGAGGAGAATTCCTAAAAATGTAGATGAATCTCTCAAGGGAAAGATTTTAGCTACTGAAATGTGGGGAAATCTCCTAATTAACTTATTCCCTGACCTCTTTTAAACTTAATTTTAATCTTTTTTTTCCAGTTTAAATTGCTAGAACATTGGTTCACAAACTTTTTAAAAATAGAATCCCTTATACCCTTCACAGTTATGATTACTGTGTTTCCCTCCATCCTATTTGTCCCCATATTTTTCCTTTTCTCTCTCTTTTTACCCTATTCTTTCTCAAAAATCTCTTTTACTTCTGACTCCTGCCTCCTTTAATCATTCTCTTCCCTTCTATCAACGCCCCCATCTTCTTTTATTCCTTTACCTTCCTACTTCCATGTTGGGTGAGATAGATTTCTCTACCCAACTGAATGTGTATATTATTCCCTCTTTGACCCAATTCAGATGAGAATAAGGTTCAAACGTTGCTCCCCTCATTTTCCTTTCGATTGTCAAGCTTTTTTCTTGCTTCTAGAAAACTCGTCTTCATGAGTTCAAGTCTGGCCTCATGTACTTATTAGCCATGTGACTCAGTATCTTTGTCAAGAAAACCCCAAATGGGGTCACAAAGAGTCAGACATGACTGAACTGACTGAATAATATTGTTGCCCATGATTCTATGTCTGTCAGAAGAAGATGAGGTTACTTTCTGCCATGGGGATCATGGATCAAAAATCATGAAGAAAGTGATATTGAAACAGAATCTTAAAAGAAGGGTAGAATTTCATCAGAAAGGAGACTGGGAAGAAGGATGATGAGAAGCAGGAAGAGAGACCATTCTAGGTACAGGAATGGTATGTGGAGGCGGAATGAGTTTGGAACTATGACAAACTACAGAAATAGTAATTGGCTTATTCTATCAAGAGAGCTTTTAAGTTACGGCCTTCTTATGTTAACATATACAGGTACAGCCTGAAAGTACATATAAAGCCTCAAAACGTGAGCTGTTTCCCTGTTCTCTCTATGAACTAGAATTCAGTTTTATATGTGTTCACGTATAGTCAGAGAGTAGGAGAGGCCCGACGTAGCTTAAGGGCCATCTAGGACTGTTTGAAGCTTCTTAGGATTTGAGATGTAAGAGGCCTCAAAGGGCATCCACTTCAATTCTTGCAGGAACAAGAATTCCCTGTACAGTGTCCTCAAATTTTTAAAACCATATATGTTAAAAAATAAATAGAAATTTTAAAAATTATCAATAAAAAACATTATTGTGAGAAGTGGTCCTTAGATTTCACCAGGCTACCTGCCATCCACACAAAAAAAGATTAAGTCTCTGAGAATAGATCACTGCTTATGGGTTCTAACACTCTTTTTCTATATCCTGAGATGCTTTCTGATTCTACCATTTCATATTCTGAGATTCTATCCAGCTATGAAATTCTCTTTAGTAAGTTTCTTTCCGGAGAGCTCTAACATTCCATATTTTGAGGCCCCTTTTGCCTGCTTGAAATATCCATCCCTTAATGTGGCATCTGGTGGCACCACAAATAGTAGGCTAGTTCTGAAATCAAGAAGACCTAGGTTGAAAGCTGGCTTCATGTACTTAGTAAGTGCGTGACTCTGGTCATTTCTGTTTCCTCAACTTTAAAATAAGGATAGTGATACACCTACTTCACAGGTTTGTCATGAGGATCAAATGAGATAATATATGTAAAAGTACGTGGTGTATTGCTTGGCATATGGTAGGAACTATATAAATACTTAATCTATTCCCTCTCCTAATTTCCCTTTTGCTTACACAGACTTTATCACCTCCATTTCCTCAGCACTCCTTGACATGATGTGAAGTTGCTCCTAAATTTAGAGCAAGGCCCCCAAACTGACAGCCCAGGTATCCTTGGTTTATGTTTTCAAGATGTAATTCTGACATAAAGATATTTTGCTTCATTGTTGCAGGATATGGAAAGGAAGAAGCATTAAGGCAAAGCCTGGGCACTTTGAACACCATCTTGAAAGTAACTTTGTCCCCTTGTATGTCTGTTCTCTCGCCAGAGGCTCCTGCACCGGTTGGCTCTCTGTGCATCATTAAAACGTTGGCCAGAGGTGTTTACTGATTGGCTGGGAAAGGCCACTGGTGGATGAATTGGGCTGTAGCAACGGGACTTTTGTTGCAGGATACCGGGTATGTAGAGCTAGAGGCTGACCCTTTGTATACTTGCTACTAAAATTTTAGGTTAGTTTCTTAATCGTATCATATCTTGGATAATATCACTAATGAGTTATAGTAGGCAGAATGCTAGATCTGGAGTTAGAAGACCTGCATTCAAATCTCAGCTGTGCCACTTATCACTGAATCCTACCCCTCCTTAAGCCTTCTTTGATCCCCTCTGGGCAATCACTACTTTTCTTTCCTCAGGTTCTGCATATAATAGTTTGTTTGTACCTCCCTGTTGTGTGAATGTATTACTTCACATAATTATTGGAGTAGAGGACTTGTAGAGTATAAAAGGCAAAGTAAAAGTCAGCTAGTATTCATATGTTGTTGTTATATAGACACTAAGTTCATCCAGTGATGGAGAATTCAGTGTCTCACGTGATGCTTCACAATTGGCTAGCTCTAAAGCTGTCCAAGCAGATTAACATTTACCCAGAGGAAGTTCATGCAGGAGATGGCACAATTGTAAAGGAAGATCAATGCTGAAGGTGTCTGAGAGAATTAAGGACACCAAACAGGAAAAAAAGGTATTATTGCAACCAAAAACAAGCAATCAAGAAAATATGAGCAAGCCCCCACCCACCCTTCTGCCTTCTTTCCTATCACTTTAAACTCTTTATGGGATTTATTTATTTATTACTTCAAGTTATTGCTGTGAAGGTGATAGGTAAAATTGAAATCTTTTATGAATTATTTCAGAGCAAACATATCTTTATAGCTGCAACTGATTGAAAGATTTAGAGAATGCCAAGATCCCATTGTATATCATCTAAAAATAAATATTTGGTTCTACAGAGCAACATTCTATCTGAAAAGGTCTCCTTCAACAGTATATCTTCCATGAATATGGTAAAAAACCATACCAGATTTCTTGGAAAGTGCAACAGCAGAGATAATTTTGACCATTGACCTTCTATTAGTAGCCAAAGTGCTTGCCACTGTTATGGTGAATGGTCAGTGCAGAATCAAAATCAAGAAGGTATCCCATGAACTTGGTAAGTTTCTCCAGGTGCTCCTGTTTCTGGATAACCTTTTGCTGATTACGTTAAACCACAGAAGATGTCAGAGATTCTGAAATAAGATGCATAATCACTCAAGAGAGCTTGTCCTAACTATTCACCCACACAAGAAAAACTAAGTGGATAAAGAAAGTCTATTGTTAAGACTCCAATATATATTTGATTGTATAACCAACATAACTCATCTGTCTGTACTTGTGTCTTAGATATTGCAGATGGATAATGTACAGGAACTAGAACTGAATATTAGGATACAAATTTGGAAACTGTCCTTTAATACATCTAGGCTAGGTGGCTCAGTGAATAGAGTGCTGGGCCTGGAGTCAAGAAGACCTGAGTTCAAATCTAGGTTGTATGACCCAAGGCAAATCATATAACCTCTGTTTGCCTCAATTTCCTCCTTATAAAATAGAGATAATAAGAGTGCCTGCCTCCCAGGGTTGTTGTGAAGATCAAATGAGATAATAATTATAAGGCATTTAGCACAGTGCCTGGCACCTGATAAGTGCCATATAAATGTTAGCTATTATTATTATCATATTATCAAGACTCACATAGCAAATTGGGTAATTTCAAGCTTCTCCCTAAAACAACAACAATAAAACTGTTAACCAACATTTTTCTGGTGATCTTGTATGGCTACAATCTTGAAATACAACAATTTCAGAAGAAAGAGTGTATCATCCAGGATAAAGAGAGACATTGGGCATAAATAGGCTTTAACTTATTAGCATTAAAGAACTGTGCCTCAGAAGTAATATAAAAGAGGTATATACATACATGTATGCATGTATGTATGTGTATATGACCAGAAAAGGAGGTGAAACTGTCAGGTAATGAGAGTTAGGGATAACTACTGTAGAGCCTCTGTGCTCTATTGATAAATGTGTCAAATCAAGAGACCTATAGGAAAGCCCCAAGCAAATAGAATGGGATCCCCCCCATGTCAGCTTTTTTGGGAGGTCCTGGACAAGAATCACATATGATAAGCAAGTGTGGAAAAGTTGTGATCAGTAGCACTGAAGGAAGTGACCACCTCAGTAAGACTGTAGATCTATCAAAGCATGAGTTGCAGCAACAATTAAAATAATAAGGAATCTTGCAAAAAACCTAAAATGTCATAATAACATAGAAATATTTGAAGTTCTCTAAACAATCAGAAGCAAGGGAAAAATGTTTTCCAAGAAAAGATATTTTCCTCTCCTGCTAAAGAATTGATCAAATATATTAGGAACATTGATTAATACCCTGCTGTTATACTCAATTTATGTCTCTCAATCATAGAAGACAAGACATAAAACACTGTAGTCTAAGAAAAATAGAAAATGAGTATCAACTGGAGGCCAAATGGAAAGGCACATGGTGATCTAGAGCAGACTGTAACAAGAGTACAGGAGGACATGGGCAAGTTACACAGATGAACAGGCATTTATAGCTTGGTCTGAATTTTTTGGGGAATACCCACATTGATGATAGAGCCACAGGGATATTTGGGTTCATTTTATTCATAAGTTGCAGCACTGGAGCAGACCAGGTAGCTACATGGTTAACATGAGGCAGCACAGAAGAGTGCAAAGAGGGTTTGGTCTGGAATTAGAAAACCCCTGGGTTTGCAGACCAACTCTAAGACTTGTTAGGTTCACACTCATCACTTTGATCACTCAAAGTATCAATTTTCCTAACAGTAAAATGAGAGTGATGGCACTTTCATTACGTCTCTCGTAAGGTTGTTCTAAGGAAAATACTTAGGAAACTGTGAAAGACTATATACATGTATTGATGTTATTATGGGTCTGCCATTAAATGCATGATATTGTCAAATTTTAGCAGTATAAGTGGAGAAGTAGTTGGGTACAATGGTAAGAAGTTTCATTAAGGTTCTAATAGTCGTTTTTAAATTGATGGGAACCCATTTAATTTCCAAGATATTTTGCTACCATAAAGGCTGCTATGGATATTTACACAATATAGGATTTTTCTCTCTCCAGTTTTTCTGGGCCACGGATTAAGATTGCTGGTCAAAGGTGTAAACAACCTATGGTTTTTCTCCTATAATTTCAAACTGTTTCCCAGGAAGGTTAATCCAATTCATAGCACCACCAAAAGTGCATTGGTGTTGCTTTACTTTCCCATTTCCTGCATTGACTGTTTCAATATTTTATCATTTTTGCCACTTTTGTGGGGGGTAAGTTCTATCCTCAGAGATGTTTTTCATTTATCCTGTTAGTGATTTGAAAAATTTACATTTTTTTTTCTTCTGAAAACTATTTGGTCCTATCCCTTGACTCTTTATCTAGTGGGGACAGAAGGTGGGGAAACATTTTATAAAGATATCAATCTTAGTCAAGAACAAGCACCCATCTATTTTTTTTTGTATCTTCTGATTAAATTTTTGTGAAACACTATTGGTGGTTTTTAATCAGTATCCCCATCAACCTTTAATGTACTTGTACGTTCAATTGTGATGCTTTTAACTTCATTTTGATACATTTCAAATTAAGTGGAGCATTTTGACTCCTCATTATCTTTCATTTTATACCATAGATCTATATTGATGGAGAGTTTCATAAGTACCTTGTGAGTTCAGCTTGTACAAAGGTAAGTAGGCTTGTAATGTGATCCTTCTATATTCATAAGCCAATCTTCATATTCTGCATTATACTGTATTTCTAAGATAACAATAGTGAAGAAATGATGTTGTAAACCGTAAAAACATTTTTATAAATGTGACCCATTGTTTGTAAAGGACCATATGCCTCCCTAAACACTTTCCTCACAGCACCTCTATGAGACAGAGAGATCAAGTATTGCCTCCATTTTACTGACAAAACAACTGATCTTAAAGATGTTAAATGATGTATCCAGGAAAGCAGTATGAATACCGAGAGGAGGTCTAGAACCCAGGTCTTCTGTGTTCTTTTCACTACAAGTAGTGTTGATCTCTTGATTGTGGCTCATGATTCTACTTCCCTTTTTAAAAAAGAGATACTTTAAATTATTGTGCCCTGCTGATTGTTCTACTCCCTTGTACAAAAGAAATAGAGATTGGTGCTTTAACTAGCTGTGTGACCTATCTGTCTGATTATCTAGAATCATAAAATATTAGGTTTATTCAGTCTAATCCCCTCATTTTACAAATGAGGAAATTTAGGCTTGGAGAAGGGAAAAAATGTCCAAAGTCCATCAGGTCATGCATGCCAGAGCTAGGATTGGAATCTAGGAAACTCTTTCTCAATATCCAGTGGGCTTTCTATTGCATCAGTCTCCTGCAGTCTAACTACATAAGACCAAGAAAGGCACCACAGAGCCATGGAAAGATCATGCAACTTAGAAACTCCACAAGTTCAAACATGTTGGCTACACATGCCATTCAAATCTTGTGTCTGGTCCTTGCTATCTGTGTGACCTTGTCATACAGGTACATTCTGTAAAAGAGGGGGTTTGACTAGATGACCTTTAAAGTTCCTGATGAAGTGACTTACCCAAGATCACACTGGTAGTAAGTAGCAAAATATTTGAAATAGTACCATTAAGGCAGTATATTCTCTTTGATCCAGATGGTTTAGGGGTCACATACAATGCCTGTGTTTTCTAAGTGTTTTAACATGAATGTCACCATGAATGTGTCTTATACTTTAAATGCTGTAAGAAATGACAAGCAGGATGCTTTCAGAAAAACCTGGAAAAATTTACATGAACTGATAAAAAGTGAAGTGAGCAGAACCAGAAGAACATTGTAAACAGTAACAGCAACATTTTGTGATGATCAAGTGTGAATAACTCAGCTGTTCTCAGCAATACAATGATCTATGACAATTCTGAAAGACTCAGGATGAAAAATGCTATGCACCTCTAGAGAAAGAATTGATGGAATCTGGATGCAGATGGAAGCATACTATTTGGATTGTTAATTTTTGGTTTATATTTTCTTTCACAACATGATTAATATGGAAATATGTTTTGCATGACTGCACATATATAACCTATATAAAATTGCTTCCCTCAGAGGGGGAGAGAGTAGGAAGGGAGGGAGAAAATTTGAAACTAAAAAACTTTTTTTAAAAGAATATAAAACATTTTATATGTAATTGAAAAATACAATATTTTAAAAATAAATTAACATAATACATATGAAAATCTCTTCTTTTAGACCCTGCTGGAGAATCTTGACCTCTCAGTTCCCTTTAGCATCAGTGTGCAGACTGTGGGGACTGGTGGTTTAGTTTCAGAGAAGGTGTACGTTGAATTTAATCATCACGCAAACAAAGGCACTTCATTATCTGGATGCAGAATCTCCCCTGAGGAGCAAGCTCGGGATTGCGGCTCTCCTGAGGTAATGGTCATCATGTGATCCACATGAGTAGATAGATGCATGTTTGGCACATGTGTTAGGACAATGGCCTTTTGTTTGCATCCTTCCCATGGTATCTTCATGAGACCTTTTATTTTCTGAAATATAAAAGGAAATTCCCTGCAGAGGCATGGAGGCATCAAGGGAATTTCACAACTAAAGATTTCTGATTTTCTCTTCCTTTAATGAGGACATACTTTAATAATAAAATGTTTACAATCATTAACCCTTATTTGTTCAGAATGTTTTCCTATATTCAACTTTCAATTAGAATTCAGATGGTTGAAGAGGTCAGGACTAGACCTTGTAATGTATTGAGAACAGCTCACATATTTATATCACTTTAGAGAGTTACAAAGCCCTTTTATATCCTTCATCTATTTGTCTCTAATGACAACCTTAAAAGGTCAGCAGGGCAAATGTTGTTATCCTGGTTTAACAGATGAGGAGACTGGAACTAAGACACATTTAATGACTTGCCCAAGGTTGCATGGCTTGTAGATAAGTGAAAGGGAGACTCAAATCACACTTTCTAATTCCTCTTCCAGTAAACATTCTGCTAAAGGTGCAAAGAAAGGAGTGTCAGTTTATCCTTATTGTCAAATGTAAAGAAGTAAAGGGAAAAAGTCAATCATTGGAAGTTTTCATTTATCCAAGTATTTGGTTTCCATGTGGAACAGGGAAAGTAGGATTGATACTGGAGTGAGAGGGCCTGGGTTAAAATCCTTCCCCCTCTCCCCTCCTCTACTTCCTGTGTAACCCTGAACAAATCACTTAATTTAACTGGACCTCAATTTTCTCATCTGTAAAATGGAAGGGTTAGACTAAATGATCTCTAAGCTCTCTTCCAGTTCTAGTTCTAGGATCCTATGATCATGAATTCAGTTCACTCATGTCTACATATGTGGTGACAAAAATGTTGTAAGATTGTTCTCTCCAAGGCTTTCAATTGGGCTGATTAGCTCCAGGCTTTCTACAAGAGTCCATTATAATTATTTTCATAAATAACCTTAATTGGACATGAAGTATTCTCTTTAGAAAGGATCTTGGAATGTGAAATGTGGAATATTAGGGTTGGAGTAGGCCTTAGCACATAGAAAATAAGAAATAAAAATGGCTATTGAACATAAAATTTCAGAGCTGGAAGGGCACTTATAGAACACGAAACGATAGTATTTGGAAAGGTCTAACAACAAATAATGTTAGTGCTAGAAAGGATCTTAGAATTTAGAATGTCAAAACTAGTGGGAACCTTAGAGATATCAGGTCCAATCCTGTCATTAAAGCTGAAGGGGAAAGGCAGTAGAGTCAAACAGAAGGGACATTAGACTAGGGTGCAGGAAGCTTGGCTTCTAATCCCAGCTCTGTCACTCCCCTGATGTTTGAACTCAGGTAAGGTATTATCTCTGTTGACCTTAGTGTTGGCATCTATAAGACCAAAGGCTTGTACTAAGAGGTCTCTATGGCTACTCCAAGTTCTGACATGCCAGAATTCTGGGAAACTCTTGAAGCATTTGAGCCTCACAGCTTCTCTCTAAGGCAGGCAGTGAGTGTAGTTATTGTGATCCTGATTTTACGGATGAGGAAATTGAGGCACATAGACGAAGTTCCTGGAGCTAACTGGTGGGTGGCAGGGATTAGAATTTAAGCCTCCTGACTCTTAAGCCTGTGTTCTTTTTGGTTATATCTTATTGGAGATGATTTGACCACCTAGAGCAAGGGTTCTTGGCAATTTTTGTGTTATAGACCACTTTGAAAGCATGCTGAAGCCTTTAGACCCTTTTGGAAATCATGATTGTTACCTACATTTGCAAATGGAGACAGCCAGTGAAAATGAAATGGTCCCTGCCCTCAAGGAGTTTACATTCTATTAGAAAAGATAACATAAGTGAATAAATCACCATTAAATTATTATAAATAATAAATATTATTTGATACTTGTACTTATATATTAATATAATATGTATTATATAAAAAATTTACTAAATATATATAACATTATATAGAAATTTACTATATATAAAATTACTAAATGAAAATAAAAGATATATAAATTAAATTAAAAATTAATAAAAATACATGTACATAACTATATATGTACATGGAGAGAGAGGGGTTATATATTTATTTCTCTCTCTCTCTCTCTCTCTCTCTCTCTCTCTCTCTCTCTCTCTATATATATATATATATATATATATATATATATATATATCTCCATCTATCTCTGTCTCCTAGTTTTAGTTAATTAATTAGCAGTGCCTCTAGAGAGAAAGCCATAATATCAAGTTTTTAGGGAGTGGTATTGTCAAAGTTCATTGAGAATGGACTCAAAGAAGAAAGAGAAATACCAAATCAGGCTACTCTCCATCCCCCGGGACACTCTTCATACTTTCCATTCATGTCTATACTTACACCATTCCCTATGCTTGAAATTTCCTCCTTGCTCTCTCTACCAGCTGCTATCCTATGCATCGCCCAAGGACCACCTCCAATGTCACTTCTCAACAAAACCTACTTTGATCCACTCCAGTCAAAACTCACTTTTCTCTCCTCTGACTTACTTCATTAGCACTTTGTAACTCTCTATTAACAAGAATACAAATTTTAATAGTGCTTTGTGGTATAAGAAAAAAGAATAAAATTTTTCCTTCTCAACAGTACCTCCCAAGATACTATAAGTATTATTAGCCCTATTATACAGATGATGAAATGAAAGTTCAGAGAAATGAAGGGAGTTAACCACCTCACCCAGATAATTATTGGCAGAACTGATCATAAAACCTCAGCCTCCTAAATCCAGTGTTCTTTCTACTACAACCCAATATCTCTTCTCTGCACCTTAGTATTTTCACCTGTAAAAGGAGGGGTGGACCAGTTCTTCTGAAGGCATGTATTGGAGAAGAATAATAGAACAGATTGGCCAGATAAGATTGGGACAGATCATAAAAGTGTCTTGAAGATAAGGAGAGGTGTAGTGTTACATGATTTTTTTTTTTGTTTGAGAGGATGTTATTACATGGATACCTGAGAAAGTGTTTTTAGGGAACTGATGCAGACATCCCTTATGTTAGCCCAACTAGGCTTTTTCTAAGAGTCAGTCTGTAATCGATTACATTGAAGCTAACCTTTTGACACATTTGTGTGTTTCTGAAAGCATGAATGTTCCAATGCCTGGGGAGAGATATCTACTTAGAGACTAAGAAAGGCTCCCACTTTGGCAAAAAACATAAATTTAGTACTTTTTCCCAATTATTAAAGTGTTTTGTTATGTTTAAAAAAGCCTCATAGCAACACTGAAGAAAAATGCCTTAACAGGTATACAACACTAAAGCGCATTTGTGCATTTATGAGAGAAAACACGTGGGATTTAATTCAATTCAGGCTGCTTTGTTGTAATGTAAAGAACATCTGACAATCTGAGAAGACCTAAGCTCGAACCCTGGCTTTGTGCATAGCTGTGTGATCCTAGGAAAGTCACTGAATGTTGCTGAACCTTCATTTCCTCATCTCCCTTCCAAGGTTGTTGATGATGAAATGAAATAGTGGATGTGGAAGGACTTTGTAAAATGTAAATGTAAACCGAGAGAGTTGAACAAGATGACTGAAGTTCATTCCAGCTTTAAATCTGTGTTCCTGGGAACTTTTCAGTTAGACAGCATTGATTTAATTAATTGATTGGCCTTTCAACTGCACCTCTATAACCATCCTTCATGGTATTCTAAGTGCATTCCAAACTCTAGCTTATTCTATCGATTGGCCATTTCTGAATTGCCAAACAGAAATTTGTTCACTTCATTGCAGATTTTTTTCCACTGGTACTGCGCATCTAGGAGTTATGTCTAATGTGCTTTACAATGAAGGGCTTTAGATTAAATAATTGCTGAGCTCCTTCCATTTCCCAGATTTCATGGCTCTTCCTCTGAATTACACACAGAACCATGTCTAAAAGGACATTGATGACATTGCCTATTTCCTTGTGAGTCTACTGTCTGACAAAAGGGCTAGAGAGGAAAGCAGTTTAACTGGGAATACCTTTTGGTCTCAGAACTTGATTTCAGTAGGGCTGAGACCAGAGTTGTATTAGACCTAGTTCAAACAACTCAAGAGAGTCTATTGTTAAATTTTCAGTGTGAGAATTTAAACTCAGAAATTAAGGAATGCTATGAATCAGGGCTTGATTTTGTTGTTTTGTTGATTGTCTAGACTCTAAAAAGTGATGGAGAAAATATTAATAGTGCAGATTGACTTAAAAGTATGTCAGGTATGAATTCCCTTGTGCTTTCCCTGCTCAAAACCAAAACAAACAAAAAAAACCCTAATTGTTAAATATTTACCAACACACCTCTGGCCAGGAAGCAGCTAGGTGGTTCAGAAAATGGGGTGGGGTGGGGTGGGAGGATGGAGTCAGGAAATTCCTGAGTTCAAGTCTGGCCTCAGACACTTACTAGCTGTGTGACCCTGGGCAAGTCACTTAACTTCTGTTTGCCTTAATCCGCTAGAAAAGGAAATGCCAAACCATTCTAGTATCTTTGCCAAGAAAACCTCAGAGACAGTATTGATGCGCTATGGTTCAAGGGATCACAGACTCAAATCCTTATCTAAATTCCTCATCAATAAATTGAGGAGACTGGAGGAGGTGGTCTCAAAGTTCCATCTCAGTTCTAACATTTCTTGTTCTATAGTCCCTTCCAGCTAGACAGTATATATTTTAAGGCCATTTCCAATCCTATCATTCTATCCCAGTTCTATTTAACTAGCTATTTGAACTTGAGGAAGTGACTTCCGTGGGCAGCTTGGGTTCTTCATCTGTAAAATAAGAAAACAGACAAAATAATAGCTAAGAACTAGCATTTATATAGCACTTTGATGTTTGCAAAACATTTTAATCACAATAACCCAGAAAGGTATTATCATCCTCATTTTACAGATGAGGAAACTGAGGCTAGATGAAGTTAAGTAACTTACTAAGGGTCACTCAGGTA